TTTTTTGTAATTTAATTTTGATAGTATATATTAATTAATGCAACTTAATTTATAGGTATTATTTTTGGGTCTTAGTAACAATTTTTGATAAGCATGAAATATTTTGAATTTCAAAATATGAAAAGAGTTCAGAGAAGTGGCGCTGCTTATCGAAAATTAAAAAGCAAAAGGAAGAAATAATTGAAAATGACATTAAAAAAATCAAATGTATATCTAATTTTTTTTTAGTCAGACTTATTACTTCTAAAAGTACCACATTTTTAAAAATATATTTATTTTTTTTATTACTTACTATTACTAACTATTTAGTATTTACTGTAGGTATATTACATTTAATTAAACTGTGATATTATTATACATACAGAAATTTGTGATTTGTGAAGCATGAACAGTGGTATTTTAAACTTGAAATAAAAAAGTTTAGGCAGATAATTTTAACGTGCAAGTATGCAAATTTTTAATTTTTTCCTTTACTACATAGATAATGTTAATTTTGTACTGTTAGGGGCCTCGAAAAATAGATTTGTCCAGTCATCCGAAAGTATAAATCCGGCCCTGAGTAGTTTCATAAACTTGAAACCGTTCGCATGGCGTAACCTGCGCACTGACAAAATAATGATGATATGTCCGTACATCATACATTTTATTTATACGTTTATTTATAAAGCAATGATTTCCATTGTATTGGTTCAATTTTGTTACATGTTAAATTATTATAAATACTAGTTTGGTATATTGAAAATATTATATTTTATTCAACCTAGATAGAAAATTAGTAGCCAGATTCTTGACAAAACTGTTTAAATACAGTTATAAATTTGATATTTTTGTCCCAAAAATATAACTGTATAGATATAATTAAAGTTTTAAGCTTTTGAGTAGAGAATTTAAAAATTGGTTAATGTTATTTCTTGATTAGAAACGGATAGCAGTATCAATAAAAGATTCAACAATTTTGAGTAAAATGTTCACGACAAATTAACCTTTTTCTATGTATTTGTAAATAATTAATCACGTATTCCCAGTATTTTTTAAATTCAATATATTTTCCCTGAAGTATTTTTAATACAGTTCTGAGGTCAACGTCGATTCAGAAGCGAAAAAAAAAAATTCAATAGGTTATTAATAAAAAAATTAACTAACACTACATCGTTATAATTTTACATTTCTGATGTTTTTATATTATTCAAGTGAGCATAAAGTTGTAATAAAAGTTGTATTGGTTAGTCTGGAGAATAAATTGTTATGTACTTTATAGTAATTTTTTATATTATGGATATACCTCGAAGTTCGTCTTGTATATATTTTATTATGTATCGTATTATAATTTTAGTAATAAAGTATTTGTCTAGACGTTGAAAATAAATCATGATACGACCGTTTGATGCGAATCAAATACCACTTATATTCATAAGCGTGCGTACAGGGTAGTCAAGGTAATCACTTGATTACTCTGTGAACCTTCCCTCCCTCACCAAAATATTCAATATTATGGCAATAATAAATAACCATATTTTGTTCAACTACTTCGAAACGTGCGTAAACGGTAAATACATGTATAAGAATATTGGAAAAATATAATTATTAAGTTAAATTAAGTTACCCCAACTAAATTTGTTAATATAAATATTAATGTGTATGGTTTTGTTATGTATGTCTGCGCACGCTTATGCTTACAGTTACATACGACTCGATCGATTTAATACAGTATAATATAAGCTGTATTTGCTCATAATAAGAAGTGGGGTCATAACATATTAAACGGTTGGAAGAGAGCTTACCAAAATACGATATACGTTAAAGAATATTATATCACATAATCTTAATACCGATAACTAGTTAACTAGTTTTCTACTAGTTATCTAGAAGATAATTAGTTCCATGAATATTATAATTACGGCTACAATAATACACAAACAAATATTCTAACTATTTTCACTTGAACCTTATCTTTTTCTTATAAATTCGTGAAACTGAAATTAACATTCCGAAAGAATATTGTTTGTATTTGTTTAAAATCCGATTTCTTTAACGTGTGATCATGTTCTGAACTACTGTACACGTCATAAAACAGAGTACTGAATACACTTGCGAGAGACTTATTAACCGTGTTGTAAAATATGATGATTGAAAGTGTAGTGCATTATTATTAAATATTCAAACGGACATGGTAATATATTACATTGTCTTCGGCAATCATCGCGGTAATGTAATGTAGCCAGTGACGGTGCTAGAGTTTGCGAGGCCCTGGACAAAATAAATATTGGGTCTTATAATTTATATTAATAAAATATTTTATGTTCAATTAAATCAGAATCGTGGGGCCTTGATTATAATTTAAGGCGCGAGGCTCTGGGCAACTGCCCCTATTGCCCATCCCCTCGTACCGTCCCTGAATGTAGCTATTTGCAATATTATATTTTCAAATAAGTACTGACTGGAGTTTTACTTTCGAAACTGAAAATCCGCAAGGAAGACGTTTAAAACCGAATATTATAATATATAAATGCATGTATCGCACGATAGCTATCTTTCAAATAAAACCCGTTGAGTACCATATAGTTTAGCTTTAGTAATTAATGCATAACATAAAATAGATTTTAAAATTAATTGTATAATAAGTTATACAAGTGTGTTCACTGACCTACAGGATTGCATACAACGGCCCGTCAGTAATGCCGGCGAAATGTATCGGAGGGACAACTTTTCCGGTTGGTGTAGATTACGTCTTATGTGAAAATGAGAATGTTATTACAGACGGACCTAGAGTTTTATATTTGATGTGCCCGATATTATTTTGTAGTTATTTTTAAATTATAATATGGGGGGATGTTATTTGCTATAGGCAAACTCACCTGCTTTTTGTATTTTTTTTAGTTCATACTTTTCTTCCATAAAACGATATTTAAAAAATACTCGACAGTTAAAATATTTTAAGTATTCAACATTTGATTTATAACCGATATTATAACCTATTACTGTATGATATTTATGGGACCGAAGTTTTCATGTCAATAAAAATAATATGTAAAATTGATTCGACAATAACGATAAACAAGTAGGTGCAATGTAATAATTTAAAATCTGAACACCCAAACTTCATTAATTATGTAAAATAATGATTGATAAAAAATATACGTAATTATTATTTCACAGTCTCGTTCCAAACAATTGTAGTTTTACTCACAAAAAACTGAAATTCAATTAATGTGTATTAATTATTATTGATTTCTTTTTTACCATTATAGTGTATCTTGGCACACTCCATAGATTCATTTATGAACGCTAATGTTAAAAATCCGATTGCAAGTGGTTGTCGCGTAGGCAATCCGATTGCTGTGGATACGGTAGACGCAATATTAGAAGATTGATCCGTTTTATACGATCTGTTCGATACGTATAATGTGAACCAATTATTAACGCGTATCTTTTACCATACTGATTTTCGCATGTCAGAACTCCCAAGGGCGGTAGATTATATTTAATTGTTCTTACTGCGGTTAACTTTGTTTGAAACAATATGCAACATATTGCATACGGTTTTTGGTAATTTCTGCTAAATAATCGAACGTACAAACTAATGAAATCAATGCTACGTACTTTTTTACGTATTTATTATTAATATTGCATGTGGGAACAATAATATACAGTTATACGATTTTATTACAGTGATTATTTCGTGACATCGGTCGAACTACTGAAAACAGTGTAAGTGCATGATTGTATCCCAATAGTATACACATGCGAGGTATTATTATTGTAATTACACATTATTACAATCGAACGTATTGTTAAAATACGATTTGGAGAGACGTGAATTGATGATAACTATCGTGACGCCTAAACCGTACTCACCGTTATCGATCGGAATATGAGTCAAATGATTGTGGAGGACATTATTTGGTCGCCAATCCAGTTGTAGAAGTTGGTATCTTGGCGCCTCGGTATCTTTTTGTGGCGATGTAGTGTTTCGGAGTGATTTCTAATATCCGGAAAAACTTCAAACAAACGTAATCACGAAAAACAAAAAACAAATAAATAACATTTTCGGGGGTCTCTTGACAACAAAACTTCTTTCGTATTAACTCTGGCAGGATCACAATAATTACAATTAAACTGTGATAAAGATTTTCCAAAGTAATGGCCAATATTGCTCGTGTACTACATCAATATGAGATATCGCGTTATTTAGAAGTCTATTATTATTATTTACTTATTAAGAAGCCTAAAAACAATAGAAACCCTCTATTGCGAGAGATGCACATGAAACTCGTACAGTATTGAAAATTATTAAAAAAAAATAACTCTAGATATTGTTAAAATGAAATTAATTTTGATATTAGAGCAGCCTCACATTATAATACGAATCGTCCATATTTTATGATTAATATTATTATGTACCTATGTACCTATCAACAATGATGATACCGTTTACTTGTTGACAATTTTTTATTCATTGGGTAGATAGATTTCCAATTGCGGTTATATTATTTTTATTTTTACGAATACTTAGTATAATAAAACATGCGGGTTTAAAAATTAAATCACAAACTATATTATTGCGCAGAAATTAAAGCGAAATAGATACATAAAAAAAAAACTAACAAGGTGGAGAAGCAATTTTTTAGGAAAAATTTATAATTTTTCGTTTACGAGCTGAAATATTTTGACCAGTTTCCGAAACTATTGTCTGCAGTCGATCAACACTTCAAGAGGTTCTAAAACCCATGGCTGAGTGCACATTCGTGCTAAAACGATGATAACGATCGAGGAGTGTGTGCGATTTGGTTCGATTATGAGCGGTTTAGCCGTCGAAATTTCTAGAACAGATACCGACGCCGTCACCGGGACTGTTTATACCACTAATGATAATTGTATCTAATAATATCAACAGCAGCAGCAACAAAACAACAAACAACATACGCGTTGTGTGATGATGTCCTTTCCTCGGCTTGCTGGAATGGTGGTGGTGGCAACGGAGGTGGGGACAGGTCTATAAAACCGATCCGGTACGCGTCTGAGTCAACAGAGTGTGTCCAAACAGCGGCTTGTGAGATTTGTAATTATCGACTCATTGCGCGTGCATACTCAACTATATCGTCAGCTAACTTCTGCACCTACCATTGTCATAGACGTCTCCGCGAAACCGGACATCATGTCGGCCAAAACGACGTTTTGGTTTGCGGTCATGGTCTTGACCGTGGTCGCTTCGGCCGTTGCTGGACCGTTGGCTACCGTCAACACCCCGGAATCGGGTAAGTCCGATTATTTCGTTATTCTTTTCTGACCCGTACAATTTTTTTCCACTGACTAACCCTCCATTTCCCTCCGTTCATACCGATGCGATCGTTTAAATGATGTTTAATAATAACAACCGTTGAAAATCGTGTGCGCGTTTTCCTTAGCTGCGTCCATCCAAATAGAACATTCTAGAAGGTCGCGGATGTTTCGTAACGTTCGCGACACCGCTTATTATCATATGTACGTATCACATTGGCGGGATAATGATATTGAAGTCGACATCCAGACGCGTGGCGCGGAACCGAGTACGCCGCAGTTGGGTAAAATCGAAAAAGCGGATCGATTATCGCGATAAATCGATCGTCTTACCATAGTACAGTATTGTTATCGTTTTGTCGACCTTTAACGTTTTCCTTTGAACACGCTCCGCCTCAAGGTATTTATATTTGAAGATAGCGCACTATACGGGTTCCCGGCTTGCGATATTTGCATAAATAAAAATGCAAACGCAATGGCATTCGGTTTACTACGGACAGCGTTATAATAATTATAATATTATCGCAGCTAGAATTATCGCGATGTTTTTATTGTTTGTACTTATTTTTCTCCGATAATAATCGACTGGTTATAAATGCTATTATTATTAGTATTATAATTATTATGTCCTCATACGAAATGAGTAAATTCACTCTGTCCGACGTGTAACGGTATTTATAACGAGTTTTTATGTGCACAGCACAACCTTTACTATGTATAATAGTATTTTAATAATACGTTATTGGGAGATCGCGGCAAAGATATAACGATACTACTTATACTCGTATCTTTCCGGCGCACTCTTTTCAGAGCCAGTTCAATTTTACGATCCACGTTAATAATTACGTATTACTTAACAACGCGATATACTTCAAGGCGGCGGGTATTGTAGAGAGGTTTTATTTTACATAATTTGTTTTTTCCGCATACTCATTTGTGTTCTAGAAAACGTTTTCTAACGTCGGTTTACCGTTATTGTTCCGTATTATACCAAAGAATATACACTTATCTATAATATACCGCACGCTCAATTGTTTTTACCATATATGCTCGTCGAAAAACCTTACGTCACGTTTATGTTTATGTACATAGTACCATCTTTAAAGATTTGGCACCCTAGGTCATAATCGTTTTTATCGCGTTCCCCCCTAGACCTATCTCGCGTACTCGTAGAAATATATGACGTACAGTGTGAACATTTAAAAAAAAAAGCTGTCCCAGTAAATGTTGCTATGCAACTCCTGCCTTTAAGCAATAAATATAACAGCACCTCTTCGTAAAGTACGTTAAAAAGAGAAAATATGGCGTGTACTAGACATTAAAAAATTAATGTTTACGACACGTGTTAAAATGCTATTTGATTGGTTGTACAGTTATGTGTACTCGCAACTCGTGTTCCGAATACGTTCATATTTGAATTACCCGGCCTGTGTAATATTGCTCATTACGATTCGGTAAACTACCTCGACCCCGGAGTTGTGTACACCACCCGTATACATTTTATTATTGTGTAATATTGAAACACATTGGACCGTGTCTTAGGTGCGAAAACGTGCGTATTAAAACGTTTGTCATTACATACTATGTACCCACCCACGTATCGTTTTCCAAAATGAATTACGCATTGGGGGGAAAAAAGTTTGTTTCCCTTAAGTCTTACTCGTACATGTATGCGACGTGAAATTTAATCAATTTAATGGCATTTTGCCTGTGAACGCGGAGAATTAAATAGTCCGAATCAAAAGATATATATTTCGCTGGTATAGCGACTCGAAACGGGCGTGTTCGCGACACACTACACATGAGACGGTTTTCAAAACACAATTATTTGTTTTATTTACTTATTAAGTACCACACAAAACTGACTACACAGATTATACGCTAATAATCGCGATCACTATATATATTATAATTACAGTTTTGGGCACAGGTTTTCTTTCTGGTCACTAATACGTCTATTACGTTACCGTAAAAAAAAAAATTAATTTTTTGACTATTCATTAACGCCATATTTCAATGTTCTTAAGGCAAATGAATATTGGCTTTATTTATTTTAGTAGTTGGTAACGGGATGTTCTTATCCTAGTATATTATTGTTAAACTTAAAATTTTATCAGCCTCTTAAAACTTTAGTACATCTCTCATCGTGTATATCCCATAGAGAGGTTTAGCCATCAGGGCAAAATTAACGAATTAAACTGCTCACAAGTCATGACTAATATGTCCTAAGGGCCTTTATTGGACTAGTATTATTGCAATATGATGATCCATAATTATCTTTAATATGATTTTTCAAATAGTTTTCTTTCAGCTATTATAAATTATTGAAATGCACGTTTTGTTTATTACGTTTTTTGAGTACTAAGAGACCTATTAAAATATTTATTTTGTGTACATATCTCTTAAAGAGAATATTTTCAAACAAAAAAAACCTTGTGGTTATCATACAGTTAGTAGTTCGAACTTTGCAACAAAAAAAAAAAAAAAAACATAATTACAATTAAGTTATCGATCCACAATCAATTTAAATATACACATTTAAATAAACATATATGGTTCTACCGTTTAAACTGTATATATTTTACAATGTTCGTAACAAATATTTATAGAAAATTTCGATCATCATTCTGTATATTCATGCCGTTTTTCTGCGATGAATTTATGACTCAAACCGTGGGTACGGCGAAACATGAACGTCGACGAACTATGTATAACTAATTAGATGCATTTACTACACCGACGAACCGCTTATGCGAAATCCGCGCGAGTGAGAGCCGCGGTGGCATGTGCATGTATTGTACGAACGTTCGTCAACACGCCGGTTACACGCCTTGTTTCCTTTTGCCGCTTACCTACACCTTCCGACGGTGTCGAGCGAATACGTGACCACGCGCGATGTTGTCCGCGCTCCGTGCGGATTTCAATGCGCATAATATATTATATTATTATACGCGTTTATATCGCTTGAATACAGTTGAATCTCAATATTTTAACGAAATATTTGAAAAAAATTCATTAAGTGATAAATATAATTTAAAGACGCATATATTTTATAGAAATTGTATCTTATCTGTGATAATAGTGCGTTTGTATAGATAAATTGTTATAACCTACGATGAACTGTATGTAAAGCAACTTTGTTTACTTGTGAACGCTTCTAAACACAAACATTATTACTTTCTAAATCGAAGATGTCATTCCACGAAAAAATGATTATGTATCATAGAAAACTATACAGAGATTCAACAGTATATTTTATTTGCAACATCGTTTCTGAACAACGCAACCGATGAGTAAACAAGTGGCTCGCTTTTACAACTCCTCACATGACGGATATTTATAAACATCGGTAATAATATAATTTCGCTCCCGGGAGCTACGCGTATTTTTCATGCTTATTCGTGAACACCAACTCTCGCGTAGACTGTTCACGATTCAAGCCCGTTTGGAATGAAACTTCAGGAAAAACCAAGGTGTAATTATAATGATCGGTACGGCCGTTGGTTGTTGTGATGTTTACGCGTACGTGTATGTAAATAAGGATTTTTTCACGTACGGTGTCGAACTAATTATTAATAAAACAATAACATTGCCTACCTTCGTCTTTGTTCATCGTCGAAAAAATAATTTTTCCTGTTTTGTTCCCACCTTCGATTCGAATAACCTTGAATTTCGATGTAGCGGCGTTATTTTCGTATTGCCGTTGTTAAGGCGAAGAAAACGAACCATTCCGACGTTGGAAAACCCATCAACCGTGTGTCCGGGGCGTGCGGAACCGTTGCACGCGCGTCGATTGCCTGCACAGATTACCACGGTACGTTACGTGGAGTCTTTGGTTCGTGAAGGGTGGCGTCGGTATGCGACGATATGATTAACCGCGGTTAGGTAATCGCTGACGGCTACGTATGTTTATCGGGAAAACCCACGGTTAATTCTTTGTACACGGAGCGCTATTGTAATATTTTTGTTACAATGATGTCTCGCGATCGTCTTAAGATAATTAACGTAACAATGCAATATGTATATGTTTTAACGTCTATTTTTAATGTTTAACGTTATGATTATTATTATCGTTATCGTAATATTTATGTATGTATGAGAAGACATCGTGTATACCAGACGTGATTTCGGACGTGACGTGACCGGAACACCGGTGCATTGTGTGTAATATCCGCCGCGACGTTTATGTGAAAATGATGAACAAAATTTTATAGACACCAAAAAAAAAAAAAAGAAAAGAGTTTAAAGAAATTTCACGTAAGATTATTGTCTTGTGCACACGTGCGTATCTTTGCTGGTCATTGTCGTCGTTTGGACTATTATAAATCAAACAGCGCTATGTTCTTGGGATATCATTACCTTCTTATTGTTCATTCGTCAGTGTTCGGCCGATGACCCATTATAGGTGCTTGGTAATATATAAAATATACAAGGAGTACCACAACCGGCGTTTTATTGACGGAAAAATGAAGAACAAGTGTTGCGTTTACTTGATATTGATGTATCAAGTTGATCGTAAACATGTGTAGTACAGGATATAGAGCGGATATCCGTGCAAAAGTCGACGAGTCTCGTTTTTCAAAATAACTATTTTTTACGCGCGTCATATAAAAAAAAAACCTTTGTCCCCTCGACTAATGTTTATTGTATTTATAGTGTACATTAATAAAGCAGCTATAAGGTGTTCACGCACATTACGCTTGCAAACAGGATTACTAGGATTTATATTATCATCTATATTATGATGAAACGGGATTCATAATGGCGGCCTAATGCACCGCTGCTAAGCCCTTTCGATATAGTTTAATACGTCTCGATTAATATTTATTATTGGATACTTCCACATTATTCCACAAATTTTGTTGTATTAGTGAAATAACTCATTATTTTTCGATAAAATCTGACGATTTTGGAAAAAAAAACGTTTTTATCGAATAAGATTTGAGTGTTGAAGTAAAAAACTAAGCTCTAATATTAA